AAATATGCGTTATCATCAATTGATTAAGAAACCATGCTGTATGCTTGGACGCATTATAACAAACATAAATCTACATATCGTTGGCTTGACTGATTCTTGCGAGGTCCCATCACTTGCGCCTGCAAGTATTTTCTCGATTAGAGAATTCGTTATATGATTCAAGACAATCTAATATTTCATCGAAGATATCGTTCGATTATCTCCCGTATTAATTAAAACTGCTCTCGCTGGACGAGTCAAGCGTTTGCCAGCGTAGTTGGGGAAAACTCCGTCATGAGACGGCATGGATTATCTTATCGGATCCTACATACAGTAGAATAAAGGTGTCAGTTAATAAGCCATTAGTTGTTACTATTATCGTTATCGCCACTGCTTAAGTATAAAACGAAGAATATTACACCATTAAAGGATTCTGCAAATCTTGATCTTGCCCATTCACTCATTATTAAATCATAGACAGTATCTTGAGTTGAGGTTACTGACAGTTGATCTAAGAACTGGATTAATGCCCTGTTGCAATTCGTGTGCTTTTTCACATACCAAAGTAATTCGATAACATGATTGATCAATGGCAGGAGAGACTTGAAGATTAAATAAGACGTTTCGTCAATAAAACAAAACCTATATCAATCTATGCAGGCCATCCAACTTCCCACACCCCTTAAGGCTCTTTTGCTTTCATAGAAGACTTCGCTGCGATCGACCGACGTCGTCAATATTAGCAAACTAGTTGTTATTTTACAAAACGTTAAGTCGTGTGTAACATGAATTTCTTAGTATTACAACGATTATGGAATAGATCATGTCCACCGTGTTTTCAGATTTTGGGTTGCCCTCTTAATTTCTTTACCGAAATCATCATCCAATCTTCTGGATAATGGAGGTGCAGGAGGTATGTTGTGAAATATTCCGTGATGTCTCTTTTGGTGGTGCTTATTATCTTCAACGCCTGAAAGAATTTTCTTAATGGTTTTCCCGAACTTCTTGCATACAGCTGACACCTCGTTAACTGATATGCAAGAGTGAAGCGCAGAGAGCAGCTTCCAAATACTTTCGAAAGTCGTCCGTTTACTTGAATGGTAATCATGTTTACATTGTTCACTGAAGACGATATAAATGCCTGCAAAGAAACGTGCAAACATTCTAACCCAAAACTACACAATCTATGGTTCGATGTTTTACAATGTCTGATAAGTAGTGAGCATTTAGAAAGTTCGCACAAGCGCGTTCGATCAAAAATTGTCCCAAACGTCGAATTAGGTAACTGGCTTCATATAACACGTACATCAGATAATTTTACTAGAAGTTGATGCAACCTCAAGTTACTGACTGGCTGAAATTTATTGTCAGAATAACCAGTTCGCTCCTCCCCCGATGCTCTTCCTTACGGCTTATGCTATTACCGTCAGTGAAACACGCTGCGTGTCTTAAATAGAACGACGCAGCTTCTGTTCTTAGTCAAGACTTTTTTGATCTTCGGTATAACCAGGTTCAGGGACAGGTCCTTCAAGCTGTGTAACTGGGCATAATCGGAGGTAACGAGTAACAACTTTCGCGGATGAAGACGAACAGTCTCAAACTTTCCAACTCCATCTGTCCGTCCTGCGTTTTAGTCAGTGTTACGTCTAAGTGACTGCGCTTTGCATGTTGTTTTCATTGCTAGAGGAGAATCAAGCGTACTGCGTCGAATGAACATTCTCCCGCCAGACGTACATTTTGAATGGCCAGTAATATGATAAATCCTAAAGTCCGCACGGTATAATCATCCCGAATACAGAGGCTCGCGCGTTGTATCGTCATTCACGTTTGGACAACAGTCAGTAATATTATGTTACCGTTTGCAATTTTTCCTGTCTCATTCGCAAGATCTTCAACT